TCCAAGCATTTTTCCCTGCCTCTATTTTGGGGTCATGGTTCACATCTTCCAATTAACTTGGAAGATGTGATTTACTTCCGGTTTGGGCTATCCTTATTCTCCTCCCTTTTCCCTGTTGCCTGGTTTAACTATAAAAATACCAGACAGTTCTGCATATTGTCAAAGCAAGAATATACAGTATTTGCAGCGTTGACAGTATACATGAAAGTTCCATTTAATATTCTCAGCAAGCAGTGATTGGTAAGCATCTTATTTCTCACAGGTTTGTTGCATCCTCTTTTCAAACCATTGGCCATGTTTTCTTCTTCCATAAATTCCATGTGCTCAGCATAGTATGAAAGAGCATTTTCTTTGTAAATTTAAAAATTGAGGAAAATGGGATTTTCACAGAAGCTTATGGATATATAAGCCACCAGTACCCAACTTTTTCAGAAGTATTCTGTTATAATTATGCCCCCCCCCCAGCATTCTACCTTATCACGGAAGTTTGTGGAGGTGATGTCAGAATACAATACAACCCAGACTGATTACCGGGAACGGTGTAAAGGAAGAATCCAAAGACAGCTGGAAATAAGTGAGTGCTTTCTTTATTAGTTCTTGTCATTCAAATTACCATGTTCATCGATTTCTTACAGAGGATTGGAATGGTGCAGTCCTGTGTTGTTCTTGTTTGTCCTACTTTCACAATTTGTTTGTGATCATTTTTCTTTTTATTGTGATACCACTATTTTTCTTGTGGTCAGGTTGCTGTTGAAGCATTCAGAACTACTGTACATATAGTTAAAAGCTTCCTGTTCAAGCTGAGAAAGAATATCTGTTCAATTGATGTTCTCCCATTTTCCACCAAATGTTCTGTGAAATGAAATGAAATCTATTTCTGTTCTTTAAGGCAAAGTTCACATTCCTAATTTCTTCTTAGTATTTCTTTCTTTTATAGTAAAAAATCAAATAAAAAAATTGTTACAAAAGAAAGATCCATAAATAATAATTAAAGATACAGATTCCCTTAGCCAGAGAATCAAAACAGACTAATTTAACTGTGATGCAGTTCATATTCAGGTAGACAGTGTAGTGGATTTTGAGTTACGATAATGATATTCAGTTTTTTACTGTAACCATTAGCCTGAAGGGAGATATTTTTGAAGTCTTGTTCCAAGTATGATAAAGCAAATGAAAGTTGAACTTAACCAAACTGAATTACTCCTTGCTTATCAAGGGGTTTTTTTTTTGGGGGGGGGGGGGTCAGCTCAACTGATGCTGTTCCTAAGAGAACTGATCTGTGACTTTAGAGTCCTTTTGGAGTCACAGCTACTGCTAGTTGCATAGTTGGAGGGCACGGCCCTTGCTCCGATAAACTGGTGCCAGTTCTGACATTACATGTAGTGGGAAAACCCAGCCCTAGTGTCAATGTATATCACCATTTCTCTACATAGGACTCTTTTGAGAATAAATGTCATCAGCCTTTGTGATGATTTATTTTTTTGCTATTAAATTTTTGTGGAATTATTGTTGTTTGGAGTTATTACCGTGGACATTTTAATTTCCTTCTAACAGGGTTTTTTAATGTAAAAATCCCAGAATCTGGGAAGATTAGGCAACATATAACCTAATAAATAAAATGCTGGGTGTGATTGGGAGATACCAATTTAGATCAGCGTTTTTCAAACTTAGCAATTTTAAGATGTGTGGACTTCAATTCCCAGAATTCCTCAGCCAGCATGTTAAATCGGAAGCCTGATTTAGACCATACAAATCGCAAGTACTCCTCGCCATTTCTCAGCTGCCACTAGGGATCCTTGGGGCACCTGGCCCAATTGCAGACTGGAGCAAGCAAATTTCCTTTCCTTTCCTATCGGCCACAAAACAAGCCAGTGTGAGAGATGAGAGCTGGAAAAGAGGCTATGAAGTGCCCCCCCCCCTGTGTTTTCAGTCTATGGACTGTAATTGGCAAAATATACCGAGCTGTGCTGCAGAAGAACAGGTGGTGCCTTGAGATCTGCTCTGTCCAGGTGGCTTTTTCAACATAAAAGGAGGGGATAGTAGATAACTATCAAAAAGTGGAAGGGGGCAGCAGGGTGTATTGGAAAGAAGTCTTGCGTGGAAGAGGCTAGGAATTAGAGAAAAGCCACTTGCAGACGTAGTGAGTAGGAAGGGAGGATTGTGTAGTGCCCATGCTTTCATCATGCCAAGGAAAAATGGGAAAGAAGGAAATTTGTGTCACTAGGTCACATTAGGGCCCTGCTTTTCTTTAAAAAAAAAATGAAATTTGAAATTTTGATTCTATATGTACTATCACTTTCTGCTGAGGGATATGTACTGCGTAGATCTTGCTAACCAGTTTTGATCAATTTTATAGTATGTCTGAGCAGGCTGTGTTAAGTGGGCTAGGGTTCATATTAATGTGTTTGTGAGGGTTGTTGGACTTAGTTCTGACTGCTGTGCTGAGATGTTGGTAAAGTCAGAAAGGATAACAGAGGCAGGTTATGAGAATTATATGAAAGGATCCAAGTAAGAGATATGGGCAAGGTTTGAACTACTGGATGTTGGGAAAGAAAGATAGATTCTATTGTTCAACCACTAACTTCTTAATATCATTTGCAGCTGGCAGGACCACCACCAGTGAGGAACTGGAGGACATGCTGGAGAGTGGGAATCCAGCTATATTCTCCTCTGGGGTAAGCACACTCTCCCTTTGCCTTGGGATTTGGCCAATCTTTTCTTTGTCCACACCGCTGAGAGTAGACCCAAAGGTGCCATTTCAAAAGGCACCTGGACAACCTCACAATTCAAAGAAGAAGAGCAGTGACATCCCTAGGAAGAAACCTGAACATCACCATATTGCTGGGTGATAAAGGAAGATATCTTGCATAGTTATCCTGAGCACAGATGATTAAATACTAAGGTGGACACTTTTCTGAAAGACCCTGTTACATATGAGACTCTTGATATTCTAAGGAAAAGGTCCTTGATTTCCTGCAACAACTGCTGAAGGACAATGGCATTAACAAGCCACAATACTACCGCCTTTAGCCTGGGGAAGCTACTCCATGCATAAATAGACTCCCCAAAATCCACACAGAGGGCACTCCATTCAGACCAATTGTCAGCAGCATCAACTCCATTACCTAAAAACAAAGACCAGTTGCTTGGGACAACCATGACCTGGATGACTGAGACTCTCCATAGATTCATTCTGAGAGTAGAGTTTAGCAGTGCCATCTTTGAGTCCTTACAATAGCAATAGCACTTAGACTTATCTACCATTCCGTAGCAACAGTAGTAGTAGTAGTAGTTATTATTACTACTACTACTACTACTACTA